GACTTCTTTTCTTAAAGTGAATTGTATGGTGGAGGAGAGTATTATTGAGATGGAGGCTTCATAAGGTAAATTAAGGTATATATGGATGATAAAGTAAAGGATTACCGCTGGCTATTTTCCCATTGGTAATTCAAATGATCCTCAAAGTCTTAAGTGTAGGTATTTGGGAAAAAGTAGGATTGATTATCTTAACACCTATTACTATAGTATTTCCACCTATAATCATGATAATTATAAAATTGGCTTTGGAGACTATTTTTTTTTTAAAGATCATTTACCTTCTTAGCCAAAGAGGCTAATTGTAAGGATATGGTTCATTTTCATATCTTTGAATAGTGCACCATGATTGCTAGATTTGGGAATACTCAAAAGACGACTCTACATAGTCCTCAAAAGTTGTAGCCTCATTGTAATAGAAGTTTGACATTATAGAAAAAAAAAAAAAAACTCATTAAAGCAAGTAAAAGGAAAAAAAAGTTTAGATTAGTAAAGTTTAGGAAATTCTTATTGATGTTGAAAATACCTCTATAATCTCTCACAACGACACCAAAAACATGATTGTTTCTTTTTTTATAGCCTACAAGTGCATAGATCAAATAATAAAATGAAAGTATTTTAATATCGTCTCCCAAGGGATTATAGATTGCAATGTTGGGTAGTTCAAGTACCAAAGGTGAAATCCTAAAATCCTATATCTAAACAATTGAAACTTTAGTGGTTGATTACAAATAAAGAAAAGAAAGATTGAAAGCAATATAGGCTTGAATCTTAACTTCACCAAATGTCACTTGGGAAGTAAAAAATTATAGCCACAAACTCAAGAAAACAACTTGAAAAATAAGAACACTTGATGAAGGCTTAACGGTATAAGATTGCATAAAAGAACAAGAAAACTAAATTGCGTGAAATCTTATAAAGAAAAGCAATGACTGAAACTTGATTGAACTAGAGTAGGAGTGCTTGAATCAAATTTGTAAAATAAAGAGAATGCTTGCCAAAATTAAGAGAGTAAAAACAAGATTGGAAATCTAAAAATAATACAAAAGAGATCTTACAAAAATACTTCTTTAATTGAAAGAAAATAATTTAAAAAATAAAACTTTTATAGTTATTAGCAAATCTGTCATCTAAGCCAATAACTAAATTAAACTAAAATGAAAATAACTAAGAAACTAAAAAGAGAGAAGAGAATAATGAGATGAGGGATGATGAAATTAGGTGAATGGCCTTCTTATTTATTGTGAAGGATTCAACCAATGGGGACAGAATTATAAGAATTATTTTTAAATACAAATACTACATGATAAGGCTTAATCTCGATCTCCAAAGCATTATGGTCGAATGGACTCTATATGGTGGAATGGTTTGGGTTGAATGGTCTCTTGAGATTTAATCTTGGCCATTTGATCTTTATAGCTTCCATCTTGATCCATTCTTGTAGGTCGGTTTAGCTAACTCTTGGATTACAAGGCAAAGGATTTGAATTTCATCCAAACTCTTTGAATTCAATTGGCAAGAGTCCTCCTCTTATCATGATTCTTAAAAGAGCAATCTAAAGAGTTCTTGTCCATCACAAACTTCTTTAGCCGAATGCACCTAGTCTCCTTGTTGGGTGAAAGTTGCATGAAGTCTTCTTAGATAGTGTCTTAGCCGAATGGGAGATCAGAGATATGAGTCTTTGTGCAATTAAATTCCTTCATAGAAAAGAAAAAGAGTCATGGTGGAGTTTAGTCTCTTTTCGCTGTAGAGGGTAGAGTCCTTGTGCATTTAGAATTGCATGGAGCCTTCTTGCAAAATGGATATGATCGATTGGTGTCGGAGTCCTCCATGGATGCAAACTCTTCTCTTGGCCACTTGAAAAAGTCTTAGTGTAATTGAACTTCTTTGAATCTTACTTTGGTCAAATACAAAGATGATTTGAGAGTGTCCTTGTGCAATTGAATTTTTTCAAATTCCTTTGTTTTGCCATATGGTTGCATGAATGGATGGAATTAGGCCAATAGGGTTTGGCTAGCTTTTGCTCTTGTATGGCCGAATGTGCCTTTGCATTCATGGATTGCATGTTTTCCTCATCCATAGGCTTTGAACCCTAAAAATCACAAAATTAACATTAAGGCACCAAAAATCAACCAAAATTTTAAATTTTGCACCCATTTTGATGTACAAAATCATTATATAATTAGGTGTTATTGGTTCCCGAGTCGCCTCTGCCACAGGTTTACATTCTACCCTGCTGCCATTAGCGAGCCATAACTTTTCTAAATAACCAAAAGTGAATTGCACCACCATTTCTGGTGTGAGGTGCTCATCTGACTTCACAACCCGGTTTCTACTATGCTACACCGCCCAACAAAATACTAATCCTCTCGTCAGTTCTTCATCGCTCGCCGCCTTGGGAAACCTCATCGAGCCAACCATTATCTGCCTCTAAATCAACCTCCCTCCATTTTGCTAATAAAGCATCCATACTCAAAACAACTTTGATCCTTACATAGTCCTTAATGGCATGGTTTATAGTTTCTTCCTGCTGGCCACATCTAGGACATATTTCCTGGGCACTAATCCCTCTCTTCCGCAGTGTGGTGTAGGTTGGAAGAAAACCCAACATCAACTTCCATCCAAATATTTTGATTTTATTTGGAATATTTGTATGCCAATGCTTTCTCCAAATCTGTCTCTTAATAGTAGTAGAAGTTTTTGCTCCATTCAACTGACCATTACCATCCATGCATTAAATTGTTAAAATCATGCGATATGCGCTCCGAACCGAGAAATGACCATTCTTCTCCATGCACCACGAGCACATCAGGGTGACTGTTTGTACTAAGAGGAATGGATAAAATCTGATGCGCTACCTCTCCGTAAAATACGATCCACAAGATCCCTATTCCACCCTTTGGTTCGTGTATCGATAAAAGAAACCACCCCTGCATCTTCATCCAATGAACTTTGTGCTTGGCTACAAAGAGGTATAAGACCGTTCTTGGGGAGCCACTGATCCTTCCAAATTCTTATACGGTGCCCATCCCCCACCTTCCAACGTAGTCCACCCTACGGGCCTCTCCTAGCCAACCAAATGCTATGCCATGTAAAGGACTGTTCTCGGCCTAACCTAGCTTCCAAGAAGTCATCATTTGGAAAATATCTATCTTTCAGAACTTTGAACAACAAAAAGTCTTGGTTTCTAATCAGTCTCCATCCTTTGTTTGGCCAAAAGTGCCCAGTTGAAAAACTCAAAATGTCTAAAACCCATTCCTCCGTTGGCTTTATTCATGCACATTTTATCCCACTTCAACTAGTGGATACCCCTCACATTTTACTTTGCGCTCCATCCATAGTTACTAATTAAACTATTAATCTCTTAGCGCAAACTCTTAGGAAGTAGGAAGCAACTCATACAATAAGAGGGGATAGCTTAGAGAACTGACTTAATGAAAACTTCTTTGCCTCCCACAGGGAGAACTCGACTACTCCGTAGATCAATTCTCGACCATATTATGTCCTTCAAATCTCTGAATTCCCGTGTTTTATTCTCCCGCACCATAGTTGGCAATTCTAGATACTTTTCTTAATGAAGGTTCAAAATACAGTAGCGTTCTACGTTTAGAATATGAAAAAATTATTTATCATGTATCCTAAAAAAAATAAATTTAAAAATTTATTAAATAGTTTTATTAAATTAAATTACTTAAATGAAATGGTATATATTAATTCTTATTTGACTTCAATAATAATTTTTTATTAATCATTTTGATACATTGACCAAATAATTTATTGACTTGATTTTTTCTCAACTCTTTTTCACTTGTTTTATTTTTATATTTTGTAACAATATTCTTAAAAAAGTATAATAGTTTCACACATGGACTCAATGACTAAAACCAAATATATATATATATATATATATCTAATGGCTATGAAAAATCAATTAATTAAAATAATTCATACAAAAGTACTCATACTTCACATATGTAAGATAATATAATAGGTGCTAGGTAAAGACCTTTTTGAACCTCACCATAATACTTGTATGACAATATAATCTCAATCCATCCTTTCTCGAACTCTATCAAATAGTTCAATAAATATATTATTGCGTGCTTTTTCACAAAATAATAAATTTACTTTGCCTCTTTAAGTACTACTTTAAACAAAAAGCTATCCTTAAAATCCTTGATAGCTATCCTATTTTCATGTAAGAATACAAAATACATTTATGTTTCTATAATATAATAAACATATATAACTTAAAACATATACAACAATGTAAAAAAAAAATTAATCAAGACCAAAAATGGACTCAAGAATAAAAAATGTACAAAAATCAAATGAAAGTGATCAAATCGTTAATCCTTATAAATTATTAAATAGACAAAAGGGTGAAAGAAATCAACTTTACATTTTTCGAAAAAAAAAACAATATGCAATAAATATTTAAATTTTAAGATAATTATTAAAAAGTTTATGAGAAATCAAGGGAAAGCTTGCAACTTTTGTTAGCAAAGCCAACTACAAAGGTATCAAAAGATTAAAAAATTACATATTTATGAAATTATAGACATTTTATTTTGTTCAAAATCATTTGAAATGATTTTGAGTCTCGAGATTTAATTTCGGGATTTCGACTCAGTAATAATGACATAGGCTTTGTTAAGTGTTAATTAGGCTTTAGATAGCCCACTCAAAATTGAAGTTGATATTTTAAGCTTAATGGCTTCAGAGCAAGCTTGAGGCTCAACATCGACGTCCATTCTTTTTATCTTTTTTAATATATATTTTATCTTTTTTTATCCATTTTTGTATATATATTATCTGAAAATAATAAATAAAAAAACAAAAAAAAAAAGAAATTATCTATTACGTCTATTACATAATATAAATGTAGTTCTCTGATTATTTTAGCTTTTTTGTTCTTTCAATTTGATGTACACAACTTTGATAATAAAAAAATTTGAAGGACAAATTTGGAAAGAAATGTTAATCGAGAAAGGGTAAGAAGCTTTTGGAGAGTGTGAGAAGCTTTCAAAACATATAAATTTACATCCTTTCATAACCTTTTGAGGGGTTTCCTGTCAGGTTCTCTCTATTTGTGATTCTCTCCTTTTGACAACCAAGATGGTAGGAAGATTCTAGTGAATGGAAGAAGCATTCCTAAGAAAACAAATTTACAACTTTTTTTCCATCCCTTTGAAGGCAATTTCTGTCAGGTTTCTGTCTTTTTGTAATTCTTTTACTTATTATTGATCGTATTTTAACAAATTAAAAACTTGTATTTTTTTAAACTTTTCTATTTGATCTTCATCTAACTCTTTTAACATTTTTGTTCTTTTGATTTCAATCTTTGGGTCGAGAAGTTTTTGGCTAAAAAAGAGGGAAAGGAGAAATTAAAGTTTTGGTCTAGGAGCTTTATAACGTGAAAAGATGAAAACATAGAAAGGGGAAGGAAAAGGAAAAGGAGAAAAGAAGTAGCGATAGCATAGGTTGGATCGATCCTTCGCATGCTGCCTGTGGCAATTCAATTTTCAATCTCTCCAGCTCTTTTTTCTGTCCTTTTTAACCCCTATTTGGTTGGTTTTATGAAGAAGAAAGATAAATGTCCTCCAAAAAGCTGCTTACCTGGTATTTTTTAATTAAGCTTTGGTTTCTAACTCAGTTATTTCTTTTTTGGATCTTTAACAACTTGACCATGAAGTAAGTTTTGATGGGTTTTTGTTTTTGTTTTGGTTTTTTTTCTTTTTTGGCCTTGGTTTTGATCTGGGTTCTTTTTATTGATTTATTTAGATAGATGGTTTTGTGATTTATTGCCCTTTTTATTGATTAGAAAATTGCAGACTTTCTTTGAAACTTATCTGTTTGCTTGACCAAACTTTTTCTGGAAATTAGGTGAAGTCTGAGGTTTGTATTAACCCCTATTTGGTAAATTTTTTGAAGAAGAAAGATAAATGTCTTCCAAAAAGCTGCTTCCCTAGTATTTTTTTAATTAACCTTTGGCTTCTAACTCAGTTATGTCTTTTTTGGATCTCTAACAACCTGATCTTGAAGTGAGTTTTGATTGGTTTTTCCTTTCCTTTTTTTCTTTTTTTTCTTTGTTGGCCTTGGTTTTGATCTGGATCATTTTTATTGATTTATTTAGATAGATGATTCTGTGATTTCAAAGTTGCCCTTTTATTGATTAGAAAATTGCATACCTTGTTTGAAGCTTATCTGTTTGCTTGATTAAATTTTTTCAGGAAATTAGGTGAAATTTGAAGTTTATATATATTTTTTTAGGGTTAAAACTTGCACCCTTTTTAGGTTATGGATTGAATACATAAAAATACAGTGCAGAATGAAAATGATTAACGTGGTATAATGTTTAATCATCACCAGTTTTAAGTGGTTTCAAGTATGGTTAATCAATCTTATCTGTGTTACACAAGATATTTCAACAAATCTAAATTTGCTTTCAACAAGAACTATTTTCCTATGAATGTGTAGGGCATTCAACGGGTTAGCATAATGAAGGCACTAAGTTGTACAGATTTTAACGTAACAACAGTACCTAAATCAGTTTTCGACCAAGAGTAGAAGCAGGTAGGAACGAAGAGATAAAGTGAGGGAGAACAGAGAAACAAAATCACCGATGGACAGCAAAAACGATAGCAGTTCTGTTTTTATGTTTTTAATATATTGTATAATAAGATCTAGAATCTATTTTATACAATTTTGATCTTATGTATTTTTCTTGATAAAAATTTAGCTAGATTCTTAAAATTTTTGAAGGTGATTCTAATTGATCTTGAAACAAGAAATTTGATAGTCGGTTAGTTAAGAAGATGGTGGGAAAGCAGCCATGCCTTTGTGTAAAATACAAAAGACTCTAACACTAATCCGTCAGAGGACACAAGGCTCAAGAGGATAGAGTTTTGATCCATCATGCGCTACTCAAAATGTTTATGGAATAAGGGCTAAGAATGTTGCCTTATCTGCTCTCACAGGAATTAATAGTTAGATTTTATTTTGTATTCCCTTTTCATTTTCTTTTCTCGATAGAGGAAAGTGTGAAAATGGTGTTAACAATTTCTTCATTGTATAGCAACAATTTGGTCCAGCTAAGGATAGTTATGCTGAATTATGTGTAGAGAAACATACTATCACAAGTGAGGACCTAGTACTGTGTCCTTAACAAGGAGTACTTGATGAAATGGATTTTCTTGCTTATCTCGGAATTTGAAATTACATCTTGATTTATGCAGGATAGAGCTTTGAGCGAGGTATTGCTGCCTAACAAGGTGGAGCTTTTGCATGGGAAATGGTTCCAATTAGACATACTCTTAATATTAAGTTCCTGAATTGTTAATTATATACTTATATATATATATATATATATATAGACACACACACAAACACACATATATATATAACTAAATTTGGTACCATATAGGGTTTCAAGGGGAAAGGGAAAGTCATCCACCATAGTTGACAATGATGAAGGTTTAGGAAAGGTAAACATAATTTAGAGCTGTTTGTCACTTTTCGCACTTTGCTGCTTCCTGTTCTTTTCTTCTATCTTTTTATCTCTTAAATTGCCTAAATTAATCACATGGAATCATTGATATTAGATCACGCAAGTAATGGATATTTTCCAAATATTGTTTTCATTTCAGTTTGATGCTGCAAAATTAAAGAAGATGCGACCAAGTTTCAAGGAGAGTGGCACCCTTACTGCTGGCAATGCTTCTAGCATAAGGTCAATTACTTAACATCTTTATTCACTTACATACATAGGCCAGACTTTTGATTATGTCAACCCATCGTCAGAATGGGAATGCTTAAAAGTAAAAGGCTCACCTGTTGACTGAATTCTTCAATAAATCAATTTGGTTGTCCTATATTGGTAGCTTATATTTCACTTTGATGAATTTCTATAAGCCTCTTATTGAGGGTTGTGCAATCATGCAATTGCCTATTTGGTCAAATACTACTTTTCATGGGTTCAAAGTTAAGGCATGATTTCCAATTTAACCTAATAATTCTTTTAAGGACATGATCTGGAGTTTGTCATTGAAGTTAAGTTGATCTTATTCGCAGTGATGGTTTTTTTATTTTTTAGCATGCACCTTGGATCTTGAAATAATGTAACATTTGATCATATTAAAAGCTTATGTTGTTACAAAAAGCCAAATTTGTTGCATCTATTCTCCATATTTTGTCGCCGTAGGATTGTTTTAAGAATTAGATACGATTGTGACTTTAGTGCATTGCTTTGTTGCGCTAAGCCCTACCAAATTAGGACATCGTGAAGATGGGGAATGCAAAAAGGACAACTGACTGTGGTTAGCTGTTAGCTCAACTTGAGGATTGAACTTAAGACGTAACTATTTTGTTGAACCTTTTGTTTATTATCAACGGGAACATCTAATTGGAAATGGTGAAATAAATTCCCACTTCATTCATTTGTTAGGCCAAGTCTTTGGCAAAGTTGTTATAAGAGTTAAGATTTTTAACAGTTGGCATTAGTTTTGTTACTTGGTGTGATTGAAGAGATTTCGCATTTGGGTCTAGGAGGAAGCATTTTGTTTTGTTCATATTTTATTTTATAATCTTTCTCTTAGATATTTATTAGACAAAAAATATATTCAAAGCATTTTTTGTCATCCTTAAAAATATGTTCTGTTGTAAACTTGCCTTACTGTCTCCCCATTTATTCCATTTTCTTTTTATTTTAATATGGTTGAATCTATGTCTTGGAAAAGAAAATTCAAGTTGGTGGAAGTAATTTAGATTCTGCAGACATGATGACGAGTAACATTCCACTTTAATTTCACATTTCTTCTTTTGGAATATAGTTGAAACTATATTTTGAAAAGTTAATGGCAACTACTTACAAATGAAGATAATTTTTTCACTGGATGACAACTTAATGATAACTGCTGATGGTCTATTAGAGCAAATAAATGTCATAAGAGATGCAAGTGATTACCTATGGTACATTACTAGGTAAAATTAATGCCAATTTGAATAAAATTTTTTTTTCATTGTCAATTAACATTTGGTTCCTTCCTCTCCTGTTATTATCATTTTACGGAGGGGTGGAACCAAATCTACCGTAAATAATTTGTTCATAAAGATCCTTTCTATGACTATTAATGCTATTAGTGATCAAATAATGTAAATATTCAAAGTACTAATAATTACCAAACTCTCTTTCTAATATACATAATTCTGTATTTAAAGTGATACACAATTTTATTTTATCTAGCAGCAAAGTGTGAACTTAAAAATCTAATGAAGATAAAAAGAAAACAAAATTTAAGGAAATTTGAATCCCTTGGTTTGAATTGATTTCATTTCGGATGAAGGATGATCCCCTGAATCGGATTGAATCACTTTGTAGATGAGTTGCTTTGGTTAAATTTCTGATCAAAATTTCAAGATAATCCCTTGAAATTAGCATTTCGGTTGATCTAGGACGATGTTTTCGATTGGGACTACCTCCCTATTTAAACACCAGTACTTAATCAGGGGGAAACCGACAACAAAGAAAACATCCATCACCAATTAGTGGCCGCCTTCGCCTCTTACATCAACAACAGTCCACCTTTGCCAACATTGCTCTCCACCACTGTAGCCACTACCTCCACCGTCACTGCCAGAGCTACCGTCACAGCCAATCCTACTACTGAGACTTCTTACATTGCCTGATCACCCTAGACTAAACCATCGCACAGCTCCACAACAGTATACATCACTACACTGCCATCTTCGAGCTTCTGCAAGCCCGCCCGAGATAGACTGTGCTTCATTCTCTCTACTAGTCGCCTTAATACCACTACCAAGAATACAACCACTAGCCCAAGGCTTTCACCGCAATCACTTTCAACAAAAAACTTAAATTACCCAACGTCCGGACCCTTGGAACCAATCACATAATAAACTCAAAACAAACAATCGATCCAGCCTCAACAATTCCACGAAACAATCACACAAGGCAACAAAGCTAACAGTAACCAATCAAACCCAAACCCAAGTCGACAACAGACAGAAAGCAAACAGCAATTAATAAATACAAATTATCAAAAGCACAGAGATAAAAAAAAAAAAAAGAAAAACTAATTTACGGAGAGGTGTTTCTTCTATTGAAGCGTCGATTTGATGGCTTTTTGGTAGGATTAGGAGTGTGAATCGGTGAAGGAAATGAGGCAGTGTAGACAGGAATTACCGTCAGCAGCGATGGTAGAACGACGGTGGCAGTGACGACGACGACGACTTGAATTTCGAGAGATCTAGAATTGTGGAGAGGAAGACAAATGGAAGAGGAGAAACATACTCAATTTTCAGCCAGATCGGATGGTGCAAAGGTGTTAAAAGGAAGTCGAAAATTTTCAGCATTGAAGCTAGATATACAAATCTCTACACACTGTTTTGAAAATCCATTTGGAGAAACTGAAAGAGGAGGTTACGAGGATGTTTTGGATGAATTTTGGGCCCCAACAAAGGTCAGATAGCGACAGAGCGAGCCGGTTGCGACGGCAGCACAAAGAATGACCTGAAATCTCCTTAGAGAGAAGCTCCGGAGGCGAGAGAGAGGAGAGACAAAAGAGCCAAAAAAATATTAGAAAATGTGATTTTAACCGTATATGGTCTTATAAAACAACATAGTTTTCGTAAGAGGCTAGCCAAGCCACTAAGCCCAGCTACTCAGTAGCCAGAGTTGAACCGAGCCGTTTAAGTTGCCTTCCAAGCCATTAATCAAGCCAAGAAACATTGGTCGAGCCTTTTAAATGTTCACCGAGCCGTTGACCCTGTTGATCAAATCACTAAACTGGGATAATTTTAGTAATTTTTTATTTTTAATTTTAATTTCTTTTAAAGTTTTTATATTTTATTATATTTATTATTTATTTGAAATTTAATTCTTGAACTAAAAATAAAAAAAAGTTTGAATTAAAAAATAATAATAATTTTGAAATTATTTTAAAAAGAGTTGAAATATCAATTTTTTTAAATTATTAAAAATAAAATTTTCGAGGAAGAAATTGAAATATTATTTTTTTTTCAAATGAATTTGAAAATATTTAATAAAAAGTTAGAATATTAATTTTTTTTAAATTGTTAGAAATAAAAATTTTGAAGAAAGAGTTGGAATATCAAATTTTTTCTCAAAAGAATTTGAAAATGTTTAAAAGTTAAAATAAAACTTTTTCTTAAATTTTTTAAAATTAAAATAAAATTAAGAAAAAAAATAAAAATAAAAATTTTTAAAAAATATTAAAGAAAAAGTTGACATATCAATTTTTCTAAAATTTTGAAAAAATAAAATTTAATTTTGAATCTTTCAATTACTTACTAAAAAGTTGTAATTACAATTTTTAGATGAGAAAATATTTTTAAATTTCTGTCAAAATATTAGAGTAATTTATAACACTTTCTAATATCAAATGTTTCAATAAAAATTAAAATTTTGAAAAAGCCCTTAAGTTAATGATAGAGTCGCTTTAAAGAAATAATAGTTTTTTTAAATATTTTTTAGGTAAAAAAATATTTCAAAAATTTTATCTAAATATTGGAGTGATTTAAGAATACTTTTCAATACATAAATTATTTTAAGATTTCGATAAAGTGTTTTAAAGTTTAATGGATAATACAAAAACTAATTGGTACTATTTTTTAGATGAGCATTATAATATTTACTATATGTAATTTTACTTCAAGATCTAGTCTATTTCATAAATTAAAATCTATTCTTTTAAGAGGCTTGAATTAAGATCAAGATTTTTTCAAAAAAGGACTAATTTGGTTAAGTGCCAATTGCACTTATATAGAAAAGATTGCTAGTGACTCTATATGTTTTGTGTTTATTAGTCAAGTTTTTGGGCTTGTACATTATGATAGAAATGATAAGATCACGACAGTTTTTATTCCAGTTGTTAGACAATAGCTACCCAATCAATTAGCACATTCAAGTTAAAGAAAGTAAAATCAAATAATCAATCAATTAGATATGAAATAACAATTTAACGTGGTTCAACTCAATCAGCTTACATTTATCAATGAGAGCAAAGATTCAATAGTTATTGAGAATAAAAAACAAATCAAATAATCAATAATCAATATCAAATAAATCAATACCTATGAAGCCTCTCATTATTTTTTAATCTTATAGAGTATTTTCAACCTAAACAAGCATATATCCATATGGCTCACCATAAATATGAACTCTCTTGTTCTCTTATAATCCATTTAAACGCACACATCTATAAGGACCATTTCATTCTCATCTAATCTTGTGGAGTGTTTACCTAATAAAATCTTTCAACTTTCTTATATTTTTCTTTCATATTTAACCTTGTAGAGACTTTCATTATTTATAAACCTACTAACTTGCCTATCAAGAATTTTTTTTCTCTTAAAATTCTTCTTTTGTAAGTTTTTTTGTTCATCAAGTAATATTTAACCAATCTCAAAAAATTCACAAACAAATCTTTTATGAGATTTGAGTCAAATCTTAACAATCTCTACCATGGCTCAAATTATATCAAATCCTGTTGTTACTAGACATACTTGGCTCAACATGTAATGAAAGTCTAGCAATTATCTTTTCTTTTATGTCTTAATTGCTTTATGCAAATTGATCTCTCAACACATGAACTCAAACTCTTTCTTAAATCGAGTTCCTCTAGACTTGCCTCCTCTCACATCTTGAATCTTTACTCTAATACTAATTATTAGAAATCTCATCCACAAGCTTTGAACATAGCTTCGATAATAGTTGCAAGGAAGATCATAATAGCTATGATTCAAGTTGTTAGGTAAAAGCCCTCTACTAATTAAATAATTAAACCAGCAAAAGTACGATCAAACAATCAATCAACCATACAAAAAATAACAATTTAACGTGATTCAGCCTAATCGATCTACATGCATGGATGAAAAAAAATCTATTAGTTATACATATTACAAACACATCATCAACAATCAACCAATAGCTCACAAACCAATCCCAAACAAATCAACCAATAAGCCCAAAGAGATTCAATCTCAATACCAAATGTACACCCATGGACCCTCTCATTCTCCTCTAATCCAATGAAGTGTAATCAATCCAAACAAACATTTATATATGGGGCTCACCATACACATGTGAACCATTTTATTATCCTCTAGTCTATTCAAATATCTACACCCATAAAGATCCCCTCGATCTCTTCTAGTCCTATGGGTGCTTACTTATTAAAACCTTACAATTTTTTTACATTTTCTCTTATGTCTA